AAATGATTTTTTAATTCCTTGGTTTGTTAACATATTCCAAAGGGCGTTTCAAACTTTCACCAAAATATCAACATTTTGTTTTCCCTCGTATAATTGAAAGACGGAAACTTTCATTTTTAATTTAGAAAGAGATACTAAAAAGTCAAATAATTTAGCTACAAACTGCTTAAAAAATATCAAAATCGGCCTGCTAGAACAAAATATATTAAACTTTAAAATACATCAATATTTTAAAGTGCCCGTTTTTCGAACCGGTTGGTGTAGATATTATGTTAAGTGGTATACTATAACAGCTGTTACCATTTTCTACTAGATTTAAACCTGAACTCACACTGAATCGAGTAAGTACAACCGGGTCTAAGCCCATGGTTACACTGGATGCGTGTCCGTACGTATTTTTGGTTGTACGTGCACGGGCGTGCACGCCGCAAAAAACAAACAAATGATAAATAATGATATGTAAATTCACCAAATATTTTATTTACATATAAATCATTTACCTAACATTTTCTTCTGTTCATAAGTAGTTATTTTAACATTAAATCCTCAGACAGCATCAAAGTAGCGGCGTCCGTTTTGACAAACTCGACACCCAGGACACCACGAATGCGCTTCTAATGTAACCACTAAAATAAAATAGTGGTACGAGTAAATTCCGTCAGAGCTCGCACGTTTAAAAAAACGCACGGACCCGCGTGCAATGTAACCGCGGGCTTAGTCTTCAATCATTTTATCTAGTATCAAATATTTTGTGGCTAATATATTGTATAGAAAAATCGAGTTCATCCTGTTAAAACTTCTCTCAAAGATTTATGACATCTTAAGCAATCTGCCAGCAAAATTTCATTGCTTTTATCGGGTGTAAATTACATCCAACCGGTGTGTAGTAAAGGTCAAATATTGCAAAAAAATATATTTGACAGCGTGCATCAATTCTCACATATTATATCATATCTTTATTATAATTTATACAGGGTGTTCCTTAATAATATGTTAATATTTAAGGGGTGATTCTTGGATCTATTCTATATTCTAAGAGAACAACTTCATATGAATATTTGTCCTAAACATCTTAACTCCTGAGATACAGGATGGTAAAGTTTTCTAAAAAAAAACTTTTTTTCATAATAACTCTGATTTTATTACAGATATCTTTATGAAACTTGGTACACCTTTTTATGCATCAAAATACCTTTTTTGGTGTACAAAGAATTTTATTTATTTCAACCAGTGCTGTCCATACGGGTTTTACATTGAATATTTTCGAAGAAAAAAGTGGTACACGGACTTCTCTTAAAATAAAAATGATTTTCAAAATCTCCATTCATTTCCAAACATTTTTTGTCTCTTTATTTTTTTCGTCTGACGCATAGTTTTTCCCTAAAAAATTAAGTCAGTTTATTTCAGGGTCAAATCGCTGACAATATGATGCGGCGACTGTTGTGTGGAAATCATTTCTGCATCGACTGGAAGGAAATTAAGAAATGATGCATTTTTTTGTATATCAAAATAAGCATTTTGATGCATGGACGTGTATCAAATATACCATCAGAGATATTTTGAAAAAAAAATAGAACATTTTACCACACTGTATCTGAAAAGTTAAGATGTTTAGGACATATATTCATATGAAGTTTTTTTCTTAGAATAAGCTCAAGAATCACCTCCTTAAATATTAGCATACGTCATTAAGGAACACCCTGTATAAACGATTTTCAACTTGGCTTTTGCGAAATACTAAAAGCAAGTCAACAGATTTATTCTTAATTAATGTTTTAGAGGTTTTAAATAATAATATTTGGTTTTACTTGCCTGGAATGTTGTTAGGAGGTTTAGTAGCAGGAAACTTAGTTTCAGCGGGTGATATAATGATCTCTGCACCGACATAACCTAAAATATTATACTGGTAGTACTTCGAGAGTGCATATGATGATTTTTAAATGAGTTTAGGGTACCATTTTAATGTTTTCCAAAGTAAAAGTTATTTATGATAAATTTAAGGAAACTCAACAAAATGTGTGATAAATTCAATATTCATGAATACAATCTATCAATATATCTGCCGGGTGTTTCCCAAAACCTCTATAACTTTTTTATTTGTTCAGATAAAAAAGATTAGATTTGCTACGATAGGTATATGACATAACTCAGGATTGATTGACATATTCAGTTGTATTTGGTCACTTCCTGTTTCACCGGAAATTACTACAACTTTTGATTTTTAAATGACGCTCTCGGTATTTTTTACTTTCGATAGAAAATGACACTCTCAATGACATATTATATGTTAACATTTGACATTTTCGCTTAAAAAAATCGTATTTTAAATTTCAATCTAAATCTCGGGATCTGTTAAAAACACTAATTTTTAATCAAGGAGCCTTGAAAAAATAAATCTGATTGTCTAATGTTTTTCGTGTCTTGCCCTGGCCAGTTAAAAGATGCCCAAATCGTATTTGTAATCATATTATCTCATTTTTTTGAAATGGAACAAGGGATTACCCATTAGCATATTTGGAAAAAAGTTTTTTTACCAATAATTTCGTATCACACACTTGTTATTTCGAGTAAAATTGTCGTTATGAACCGCATGTTACAATTTTAAATAAAAAGTTGACATATGATATGTCATTCTCTTCAGAGTGTCATTTTCTATCGAATAAGGTACAATAATATCCAGAGTGTCATTTAAAAATCAAAAGTTGTGGTCATTTCCGGTGAAACAAGAAGTGACCGAAACAAATTGAATACGTCAATCAATCCTGATTTATGTCGTATACTAGGGGGCAATCATATATTTATTTATAAATAAATATGTATTTAAAGAAAATACAAAAATAAAACATGAGTGAAACTTGTAAAGTAATTGAATGCAAAGAAACCAAAACATTCTGTTGTTTTTTAACATTGCATTTTTCTTTGTATTTAATTCACTAAGTTTTCAGCAAGCGAACTATCTGGTTTAATTTTTTTGCTTATATTGGCTATAAATGAATAACTAAAAAATCAAAATTTGATTTAACATGGGTTTTTTTATAGAAGTTTTTCTGATCTTGGGTTTTCCCACAATTTTCATGTATTAAATTTCGACTTACTGATATTTGCTTTATGATTATATACTTACTAGCTGTTGCTTTTTCATATAATATATTCATTTATACATTTTTAAGTTTACAATTTATATTAATACTTTTTTTTTCATCTAGCTTTAAATTATCCACTTGAAAACATGAAAATAGTACTCGTATGCGTTTAAAAACTGCAATGCTAAAGCCGCATGATGATTTTACTACAATATTTTTAGGCAGTACCTGGTGCAGGAACAACTGGTGACGGCCGGCCAAAATTTGGACATCGCCTTTGGCAAGGTGGCGCTACACAAGGCATGAAGTAGTAACACCTCGGTACGATGTAAGGTGGTAGTTGTTGGTTGAACTCTACAGCTGGATAAATCGGCATGCCTTGGTAGTACTGCCTCGGGTGTCTTCTTTGTTTCAGCGCTTTTAAAGACGATTTTTCGTTTGGGGACGCTTCCGCCTTTGGTACCGATGTAGCGAGAACCCAATAAATGAACGTTAATTTCATCAACATCGTATTAAAACACTTTCACTGATAAAACCAAATTTACATCGTTCTAACAAATAAAACACGACGAAACATGTTTTGTGACACACGAATGATGTAACGCGCGGTAGGTTTTGAACCAATTACATTTTTGCACTACACAACAATGACATCTGAAGAAAAAAAATCAACTGGGTTATTCATAGCGATTTCACCCAAATCATAAGAGCAAAAATTATATTTAGTAAAGATTATTAATTTCAATGTACAGGGTGACCAAAATGGGCAGCTTGAGCTAATACCATGAAAATGAAAAATGAAAATGCAAAATTGGTTGAAGTAGGTATTTAAAGTGATGTTTTTGTATATAGTGATGTTTTTGTATATAGTCACGTTTAGATTTAGACTAAAAAATGGTCATGTGGCGTAATAAAAGTTTTCACACATAGGCAATAAATTACGGGTAGTTCGGGACTTTGGTAATTTGTTAGATCGTAGTTCGATAGTTTTCGATACTTTTGTACTTCAGTACCTTGGCACCTTGGTACTATGGTGCTTTCCTTAATATTTATCCTGTTTTAACTTCAGTTCGACCTCTATGCCATCGATAAACAGGGCATTAATGAATATTTTCGCTAGTACGAAAACGGCAGGCCAAACAATTTAACATTCTACTGTCGTAACGGCGCCTGTGATGATATAAAGCCTAGCAACAGTTGCCATCAACTGCTTCTTCAAGTAATAGAGGCCTTTTGAAAAAGTAACCAACAGATAAAAACGCTGCTAAGGCTATCAAAATGTTGATCTAATAACACTTTGACGTTTATACTATACGCCAAAAGCAACTTTTTTCCAAAGCCTACCTTGACTTCACTGAGACGTCGCGAGTCGTTTCTTGTTCAGTGTCATTGATATCTTAATTATCAGATATTAATACATCTTGTATTGTGATATTCTAGTATATTGTCGATTTTAGAGTAAACTAATCGTTTCTATCTTATTTCTTATTAGAATAGTCATAATCAAGAAGGATGTAACCGTGTTATAAAAATAAGGTAATTAGGCTTATTTTTTCGTATTTATTATAATTTTGCTAATATCTTCATTCGAAAGAGGATATCAAGATGCGGTTTTCGCTGAATTTTTAAGCTTTTTTACTCTTTTCTATCAATTAAAACTACACATACTTTAGCATTTATTTTTTTTTTGAAAAAACGTGCACTGTTTGCTAAATTGTAAGACAGCATCCCACAGCCGTCTACGTTCAAAATCTTACCGTTTTAAACGAGTCCCCTTTTATTGGATTCCGTTCATCCAGTCCGCAGTTATTAATATTTAAATAAAAACAGATCTAACCTTCCCCCACCATTTTATTTTGACAGATACGAGAAAATGGTATAAAAATGGTGCTAACAAAAAATATTCAAAATTTTCTAAAAATTATTAAGCTATTATTTATAGTACCCCTTATCTAAGCAAAATTGTGTAAAAACTTTTATAGCAGTTACGCCCTCTAGCGGCCGTTCTACAAACTTGAATATAATTTCCAGCAATTTCTCATAGGCATTTTAGTTAGCAATATTTTTTTCCGCAGGTCCTACGGATAATACTTTCCGAGATACAGCCGGGAGCTATTCTTAGTGGGACACCCTGCACAAAAAAATATCTTAACCATCGACCATTATTGAAATTTATCTTTCATTTTCTTAGTATTATATTCCCCTTTGCTGTGGAGCTTGGTGGTGGATGAATTATTAGATGAATTAACTCTAGCGGGAATACACTGCACTGGGTATGCAGATGACATAGTCATGATCGCTCGGGGGAAACATGAAGGCACCTTGTGTGATATTATCCAAAGAGGACTCCGTATCACTGAGAAATGGTGTAGGACTGTCGGGCTGATTATCAACTCAGACAAAACCGCGATAGTGCCATTCACCAGAAAGCGAAGTCTGAAAAACTTGAAAAGAATCCAACTAGATGGAAAGGAAATACTGCCAACACAGGAAGTTAAATACCTGGGAATAACCCTGGACAGTAAACTCCTGTGGAACAGGCATATTAAGAACACTACCAGCAAAGCCATAAAGGCTCTCATGATATGCAGAAAACTGGCCGGAAATAGATGCGCTGGATGTATACCATGATAGTAAGACCCATGATTACTTATGGAGCAGTTGCCTGGTACACAAAACTAGAGCAACGGACGGCAAGGCTAAACCTATGCAAAGTCAAGAGACTAGCATGTGTTTGCATCACAGGAGCCATGAGAACCTGTCCAACAGCAGCAATGGAGGTCATTCTAGATCTAACACCACTGCACATTGTCATTGGTAGATATGCCAATGCGACAATGATTAGAATGGTCAATAACGGAATTAGTACTGGGAGAATTGACAGATCAGGGGCTTGGAACACCCTCAAAAAGGAAATACAACTCCTGCAACTCCCAGTGGACGATATGCCAAGAACGTACAACTTTGACAAACATGTCAATGTAGTATTGAGCAATAAGAAGGATTGGAAGAGCGAAACGCTTGCCCAGCAGTTAAAAGACCATACCATAACTTGGTATACTGATGCTTCCAAAACCAATACGGGAACAGGGATCGGAGTGTTTGGGCCGAGAGCTAATTACTCCGAACCAATGGGCACTTACCCTAGTATCCAACAGGCAGAAATCTACGCTATCGAGAGATGCGTACAACTTATCTTAGATAGGAACTATCGGAAACAAGAAATAGCCATCTTGTCTGATAGTCAAGCAGCGTTAAAGGCGATCAACTCAGTATCAATCAATTCGAAATTGGTCAAAGAATGCATAGAGAAGCTGAATAAATTAGGCAAAGAAAACAAAGTCCTCCTACACTGGGTGCCTGCTCACCAAGGGATAGAAGGCAATGAAAAAGCAAATAATCTAGCTAGGAAAGCAGCGAACACTCCACTAACTGAACCAGAACCGTTCTGCTTTCCAAGTGGTAACCAACTCAAGGCGGAACTCAAGAACTTGGAAGATTCCATCCGCAACCTGGAATGGAAATTTTCCAATGGTCTAAGACACTCGAAGAAGTTTCTGAGGGCTTATGATGAAGAAAAATCACAGATCTTCCTGGGTCTGAGTAAGAACAATCTTCGGATTGTCACGGGGTTTTTAACAGGACACTGTCTCCTCAACGAACACCTCAGTAGATTGAAACTAAGAAGAAACGGCGAATGCAGATTCTGTGGGGAAGATGGGGAAACACCAGTACACCTCATCACTGAGTGCGCCGAGATGACAACCATTCGTGCCATGAATTTTGGTATGACTGATATTGGAGATGGAGAACTACCCTCTATAAAACCGTCCCAGATACTGGCTTTTGTCAAAGCCCTGGGACTGTATGATGAGTTATGATTCAAGAAAGGGGGACACAATGGATCTGTAAGGTCGAAGTGATTAACCCCCCTCCCACTCATTCTAAATTCTAAATTCTAGTATTATATTTGCATCACTTTCTATGTGGGTTTATATATCTGATGTTTCTTGTAAACTTCTAGGTTGATAATCACGAGGTAGAATCCACGGACACTAATTTGCATATCAAAAACATGTATATCATGTTAAAGGGAATATTATTTTTCTGTGGTTGAAATAAACAAAAACGACATTGAAAAAATTAAACCAACAAACGTAGAAAAAATGTATTATATGTATATTGGTGACGATATAATTAACTAGTGTTATTTCAGAAGATTTTTCTCTGTAAGGAAGATTTTTGTTATTTCAGAAGATTTTTCTCTGTTACTCTACACTATGACCTTTTCAACTTTTAATAAATATTTCGATTAGTAATAAAAATATAAACTTGCTCCAAATATTTAGACACTTATTGGTTGTTGGTTATCGTGAATTTTAATGTATAATATGCAAGCTATGCAGTCATAAATCTTGAGACAGTATTGTTCATATTGAAGACAATTCCGTTGACACATAATCAAAATTGCAGTACGTATTCAGGGTGTCATTGAAATGGTGTAAAAAAAGTTCCTATAAGTATAGGGCGGAAAATGCATATTAAGGGAGTTAAGGGCACCGAAAGGTTGAATTTAAAAAACGGTTGTTTTGAAATTGTAGGATTAAAAAATGAGATAAGACTTAGAAAAAAAAACCTCTGCAATAAATTTTGACCCTAAATCAAATTGTGATACTGAAAAATTATTTGGAAAGGCGGAAAGGGTAGTTTTTGCAAGGGTAGGGCTTATTTCGTGAATAACTTTTTTGAGGTTATTTTTTTTGCAACGTGGGTTCATTTTTTGAAAATACATACTTTTTCCTACAAAAAGGTACTCTTGTTGCACATCGCCCAGGCGATGGTTTTCGAGAAAATTGAAAGCAAAGAGATTGCTCTGATGGGTTGCTAACTGGTTAATCAACCTTAACTTATGAAAGTTATGGCGGTTTAAAAGTAACCAAGTAGTTATTAAATAATTAATTGGAAAATCAAAATTTCATGATTTCTAAAACATCTTATTGCTTTAAAAACGAAATAAACTTTTTTGGTTTTAAAAAAATTTGGTTTGCTCAGTGCCGATTAATACTGAAAATCAACTACGGCAACGCATTATTGATTGTTCCAATCAAATTCGCACAACACCAAGGATATTCCACAGGGTATCTACGCAGATCGTAGAGAAGATCAGATGTCTACATTGAAATGAATGGTGGTCACTTTGAACATTTACTATGAATGAATTAAGGAATGCATTATTTTAATAAGGAATTTTGGTAATTGGATTATTTCGTTTTTTAAAGCAATAAGATGTTTTAAAAATCATGAAATTTTGATTTTTCAATTAATTATTTGATAACTACTTGGATACTTTTGAACAGCCATAACTTCCATAAGTTTATGTTGATTAACCAGTTAGCAAACCCATCAGAGCAAACTCTTTGTCTTCAATTTTATCGAAAACCAACGCTCTGGGCGATGTGCAACAAGAGTATCTTTTTTGTAGGAAAAAGTATGTAGTTTTCAAAAAATGAACCCACGTTGCAAAAAAAATAACCTCAAAAAAGTTATTCACGAAAAAAAACCCTATCCATGCAAAAACTACCCTTTCCGCTTTTCCAAATAATTTTTCAGTACCACCATTTGATTTAGGGTCAAAATGTATTGCAGAGGATTTT